TTCAAAAACTCTAAAATTACGACTAAATAAAGAGGAACACTTAAAAAAAACCAGGGGAATGCCTGACATGAAACAATCAGGGTCAGCTAACACCTCTCAACAGCAGGCAGAAATCAGACAGGTTTTGAAGCTGTAAGGCTTTGCAATTCTAATCAAGGTGATCAGGTGCAGCATTCACACTTGCATCCAACAGGCAAGAGTTCTTTCTCTCACCCTTGACTTTCCAGATATATAAACCTCACTTGCTTAGTTTCCAACAGACATTACAACCTCTGAGGATACCTGCCATAGATGTGGGTGAAATGTCAGGAGAGAATGCTTCTGGAACACAGCCATACAGCCCAGAAATCCCACAGCAACCCAATATTCGATGCTGCAACTCAGTGATTCCAGCCATGCAAGCCTTCGACAACACCGCACTTAATATTCATTGGCTGTCTCCCACCCAAGTTCTAACCAGAGTGAAGCTTGCTCAGATCAGAAGAGAATGGCTGCCTTTAAGGTATTCAGACCCTTACACCAGGCCACTCTTCCAAACAAAGACATTCCTGAAAGCCTACAGGCATTTAAATCCGATGCATTCCCTCTCTCCGATAGGCACATACTAACATCGGATTAGGAAGTGTTTCACTTGTCCTTGCACACTCCACTCACACAAGTTTTAAAGTGAAAGGTTCCCGAGTTATACACTAACGAGGGGTCATGATATCTGAGCACACAGGCATGATAGTCCCATGACCTCTGCAAAGCTCCATACACACTCAGTCTAACTGATTCCAGATGCATGACAAGTAAGAATGTTTCCTCATGCAAGGAGTGATATTCATTCTTGTGATTTAGTGTCTAGCTGGTGATAGCCAGTTTGAAAAGGCTGTAGGCCAAATAATACATTTCTGCAGCTACGTACACTCTTCCAATGTATATTGCCAAATTTCTGAAGTCATCCTGAGGAAACACCACTTTACATCAACAGATATGGGTCCAAGGCCGTTTCCTCCTCGCATTAGAATCAGGTTCCCTTTAACGTGCAAATCTCCACTGTGCAAACGCAGCTGTGGTCAGCATTTAAATTAAGTAATTAGTTTCAAACTGGCTCATTATCACGACAGCCCTACTATGGCTATTCCAACACAACTGTTGTCTCAGCCACTACATGGAAAAATGACAAACACACCATTTGCAAGGGATGTTGGAAAATATACAGACGTGCAAAACGATCAAACAATGAGGCAAGGGTGTATTTCATGTTAATCCCAAGCAAAGGAAAGCTTGGATGCAGAAGGAAGGAAGGAAGGAAGAGAGATAAGACTGAAGCATCTGGACAGACAATATAGAAGACTTTTGAACTGCAAAGAAGCCTTCAGATCTGAAGAAAGACTTCTGTGCAACTCAAAAGCTTGTAATTATATTCTGCCTCTAGAGCAAGGATGGGCAAACTTTCTAACTTGGGGGATGCATGCGGGTACTCTCTGCTAGGAGCACAGGCTGGCTGGTGATGGAAGGAAYGYAAGGAGGAAGGAAAGAGAGAAGGATGAAAGGGAGGAAAGAAAGAGTGGAAGGAAAAAGAAGGAGAGAGGGAAGGAGGAAAGAGGGAAGGAAGGATGGACGGACACAAGGGAAGGAAGGATGGAAAGGTGGAWAGGAAGGAAAGAGGGGAGGGAGGAGAAGGAGAGAGGGAGGAAAGAGGGAATGAAGGATGAAAAGGTGGAAGGGAAGGATGCAAGGAAGGCAAGGAGGAAGAAAAAAGAGGAGAAAGAAAGGCAGAAAGAGAAGGATGGAAGGAATGAAAGGATGAAGGAAGGAAYGAAGGAAGAGAAGGATAAGTGAGGGAAAGAAAGAAAAGGGAAGAAAGGGAAGGAGGAAGGAAAAAGAGAAGGAAGGGAGGAAGAGAAGGATGAAAGGAAGGAAGGATGAAGGAAAGAGAGAAAGAAGTAAAGAAAAGGGAAGGAAGGAGAAAGTGGGAAAGAGGGAAGGAAGGATGAAAGGGTGGAAGGGAACGATGGAGGGAAGAGAAGGAGGAATGAAAATGAYAAGGAAGAAAGGCAGGAAGAGAAGGATGGAAGGAAGGATGAAGGAAGGAAGGAAGAGAAGGATAAGTGAAAGACAGAAGGGAAGAAGGAAAAGGGAAGAAAGGGAAGGAGGGATGAAGGAAAGAGAGAAAGAAGGAAAGAAAAGGGAGGGAAGGAAGGAGAAAGTGGAAAGAGGGAAGGAAGGGTGGAAGGGAACGGTGGAGGAAAGAGAAGGAGGAATGAAAATGAGAAGGAAGGAAGAGAAGGATCGAAGGAAAGGATAAAGGAAGGAAGAATAAATGAGAGAGAAGGAAGGAAAGACAAAAGGGAAGGTGAAAGAGGGAGAGAGGGAAGGAAAGATGGATGAAAGGGTAGAAGGAAAGGAGAAAGAGGGAAGGAAGGAAGAAGGAAAGAAAGAAGAAAGGATAGGATGATTACAGAGGACAGCCTGAGAAAAAAGTCGAAGGGTCACATCCGGCCCCCAGGCCTGGGTTTGCCCATACCTGCTCTAGAGGGACTGTCCGGATATAATGACATTCCCTATTTTTTATTTATATCAACTCCAGAAGACTGATTTAAAAAATAGGAGAGAAACCAGACATGTCCGTGGAAAACCCACAGGAAATGTTTCTATCACTGGAAATAATGGTCAACATGGAAAAACACACTCAAAGGGCTCTGAAGCCACAGCATTTCCCACTGATTTTTACAGCTGGGTTGGGAAAGAAAAATAAATGCCAAGGCTAAGATTTCAACTTACACACATCAATTGAACCTGAACTGTTTGTGTTACTGAGTCAGAAACCTCAGATAAGCAAGCCAGGGTTTACTCATCTAAATAAATGTACACACACCCACAGATTGAGCCAGTCATCCGATTTCTTTGAACTTTGTTCTAATCTAGGGAATATTCACCTGGGGCAAAAACGGAAGACACTTAACTATGGCAAGAAGGAGAGGTGAGTGACTGAAAGGCATCAAGATACTACTGATACTTTGTTATGTGTCACTGAAACAAGTAAACTACAAACTCCTAGTTCCAGAAAAAAAGACAATGAGAGTCCCAGGATAGTGATCTAGATCAGGTATGGGCAAACTTGGGTTCTTCATGTGTTTTGGACTTCAACTCCCACAATTCCTAACAGCCTCGGGCCCTTTCCAGTTGAAGTCCAAAACACCCGGAGGGCTGATCTAGAGCAATCTGGTCTGAATGGACACACCAATGCAATGTTCGAATGTTTGTAGATTCGGAAGGCTATCCTGGAGATATTTGGCTAGACTTAGAATGCCATCCTAGCCACGTTTTTCGGCAAAGAGCTCCAAAGGGATAAATGGGATCCACTCCCAAAGAAATACCCATAGAATGGAAACTATATACACATCAATTAAACTGTGGTGGGTCTAGAGATGTGTTACAGAGAGAACCTTCAAGGTCTACCTGGAGTGTCCAAAGTGCCACCAAAAGAGGGAAAGACATTCAGAAGTAAAGATCAAACCCACTCCTAGCTTTGCAAAACAGATACTTCATGTTAAAACATGCAAGAAGTCTGGTACCTACTTAAAATATCATTGCCTCCTCCTGGAAGCTTCACTTGAAATGTCACCCTGGAGACCACGGATGGGGCTGAAGGCCACCCATTGCCCATTCCTGCCTTAAGTAGACATGGGTCTTACTCATTTTCAGACCTCAATTTTAAGAGTGAAATCCCCAAACGTCTCAGATATTACAGCCCTAAAGCTCCATGCTGGAGCAAAGCAAGGAACCTTCACCTTCTGGGTTGCTGTGAGTTTTCTGAGCCGTATGACCATGTTCCAGAAGCATTATCTCCAGATGCTTCACCCACATCTATGGAAAGCATCCTCAAACGTTGTGAGGTCTGTTGGAAACTAGACAAGTGGGGTTTATCTCTCTGTGGAAAGTCCAAGAACTCTTGTCTGTTGGAGGCAAGTGTGAATGTTGCATATGGCCTTGTTGCTTCAAAGCTTGGCCACTTGCTGCCTGGGGAAATCTGGCTACCAGTATTTTAAAAACCCTCTAAAATCAGGAAAGTAAATAAAGAGGAACGCTCAAAAAGCAGGGGAATTCCAGACAAGAATCAATCAGGGGCAGCTAACACCTCCTAACAAAGAATTTCCCCAGGCAGCAACCAACCAGAACTCTTGTCTGCTTGAGACAGGTGTGAATGTTGCAGATGGCCACCTTAATTAGCATTTAATGGCATTGCAGCTTCAAAGCCTGGCTGGTTGCTGCCTAGGGGAATCTGGCTACCAGCATTTTTAAAAAATCCTCTAAAATCAGGACTGCAAATAAAGAGCAACACTCAAAAAGCAGGGGAATTCCAGACAAGAATCAATCAGGGTCAGCTAACACTTCCCAACAAAGGATTCCCCCAGGCAGGAAGCAACCAGGCTTTGAAGCTGCGATGCTAATCAAGATGGCTATTTGCAACATTCACACTTGCCTCAAGCAGACAAGAGTTCTTTCTCCCACCCTGGAGATTCCACAGATATATAAACCCCACTTCCATAGTTTCCAACAGACCTCTCAACCTCTGAGAATGCCTGCCATAGTTGTGGGCAAAACATCAGGAGATAATGCTTCTGGAACATGGTCATAATGCCTGGAAAACTCACAGCAACCCAGTGAATCTGGCCATGAAAGCCTTTGACAACATATCTTCACCTTCTATTTCAAACTCATGCCACAGCAATGAATTACCTCAACAACACCTACAACCTGCAACTGTACAAACATGTGCAGGATTTTTGAAGCCAGACCGTACAATCTGTGACTTAGTTGGGCCTTTGCAGACAGGAAAAAGAAAGCAAGAGACAGGCAGCATGGTGTAGAAGTCCTTCAGGTATAGGTCCTCAACCTTTGCTTCTCAACCTACATCCCAACGATGGAGAACCACAGCCTGAAGGTGTGATGGACGCATGCTAAAGGAGGAAACGGAGCAATAAAAGGTACGGCCGAGTAGGCCCACTTACTTTTCATACTCAGCGTTGTCCCTATCGCACCGTGAGTCCTTGTGCTTCTGCCAATCTTTGCCGTGCTTGCAGGTGGTCAAGAGGACAACATCCTCCCCATTATGGACATGATATAAGGCATTCCTGGTATCCGATCCTATCCCGGTCAGGTACCTTTTCCCCTTGAAGACCAACATGTACTTCCTGAGGGGTGGGATGGTGTTAAACCTCAGGAAGCCCTTCTCCCCTCCTGTCCTCGGGTGATCCTTCGAAAAGAGCGGGATGGAAACGTCAAAGTTGGGGCGGAAGTTCTCCGTGCTGATGCTGGCCTTGGCCAACATGGCGTGCCCGATGTCGAAGCCCACGTCCTCGGTGTAGTCGGGCCAGGTGCCGGAGTATAAATTAAAAACCAAGTGGTTCCTCCCGTTGTTCCACAAGTGGAGGCCCTGAACTTTGGACCGCAGGTTGTGCACATACTGCGGGGAGAGCTGGTCGCGGTCTAAGGTGTCCAGGCCGAGGATGAAGAGGCAGGCCTGGCTGGGGTCGGAAGTATAAAAGCGGGAGCCCTCGACGGCGGCGAGGATGTTTTGGTAACTCTCGGCGATCTTCTCCCCTTTCTGCTGCGGGTAGACGTAGACCTTGAAGCCGTTCCTCTGGCACCGGGCGAAGTCAAAACAGGAGTCCATGCGGCACTTCTTCCCTTTGTAGACGCTGGCGTTGGCATCCCGCTTCTGCCGCGGGGAAGCCTGGGCATTGTAGTCCTCGCTCTCCAGCTGATCCCAAGGGACCAAAGGCCGCAGGGCGTCCGGGAAGCGGGGCCAATAGCGCTGCTGCGAGCCATACCTGCTATTACTACTGCTACTACTACTACTGGGAGCCTGGCGCCGGCTTTGGTTCCGGGAGGCTCTGAAGCGCACGCCACCGAGTCCGAAGTAGGCGAGCAGGACGACGCAGGTGCCGGCCGAGAGCAGGGTGAAGTAGCGTTTTTTGGCCTGCATGTGTCCTGTCGTCGAGGGGGTCGAGGGGGTGGCGGAGAAAGGCAGCGCGGCTCCGGGCCCCGAGGGTCGGCCAGGGGACACTCTCAGCTTGAGTCCGCCATCTTCCCACCGCCGCCGGGCGAGCCTTCAAACTCTCTTGTCCCACCTTCTCTGGATTCCTTTCCCCAAGGCTTGGGCTGATGCAGCAGCGCATGTGGGCGACTTCTTCGTTAACTTTCTCTTCTTCTCCGCTGCTGCTGCTGCCGGTCTTTCATCTTTGGGGAAAGGGGAGCGAGGGGAGAGGGGAGAGGAGGGAGGGGGAAGCAAAACAAACAAACAAACAACAAAATAACAACAAGGTGGCTTTGGGAAAGGAGAGAAAGAAGGAAAGGAAAAGAAGAAGAGGGAAGGAAAACAAACAACAAAAATAACAATAAGGTGGCTTTGGGGAAGGAGAGAAAAGCGAGAGACCCTAAAGCAAGGGACTGGGAAGAGGGAAGCAACACAAACAACAACAAAATAACAACAAGCTGGCTTTGGGAAAGGAGAGAAAAGAGGGAGACCTGAAAGCAAGAGTTTGGGAAGAGGGGAGCAAAATAAACAATAAGGTGGCTTTGGAAAAGGAGAGGAAAAGAGAGAGAGCTGAAAGCAATGGGTTGGGGAAAGGGAAGCAATTGAAACAACAACAAACTAATAATAAGGTAAAGGAGAAAAGAGGGGGGAAAGAGAAAGACCCGAAATGGTTGGGAACAGGGAAGCAAAACAAATAACAACAAGGTGGCTTTGGGAAAGGAGAAAAAGAGGGAACTCAAAAGCAAGGGATTGGGAAGAGGAGAGCAAAACAAACAGCAAAAAAATAACAATAATGTGGTTTTGGGGAAGGAGAGGAAGAGGGAGAACCAAAGGCAAGAGGTTAGGAAGAGGACAGGAAAATAAACCACAGAAAATAGCAATAAGGTGGTTTTGGGGAAGGAGAGAAAGGGGAAGACCCAAAGGGAAAGGATTGGGAGGAAGACAGGAAAATAAACCACAAAAAATAACAATAAGGTGGTTTTGGGAAAGGAGAGGAAGAGGGAGACCCGAAAGCAAGGGATTGAGGAAGGGAAGCACGCCGAGTGAGCGCTGCTTTGGGCAAAGGAGAGGCTGGGATTTGAAGCAAGAGAGGAGAGGAGAGGAAGGCACTGCTCGCCCTCCCGCTGCTGAGCCGGGCTCCCTTCGGCCCTTAAATCCGGTTGAGGAACTCGTGTCCCGCCCTCCAGGTCTCTCTCTCTGCCTTCCTTCCCATGCACACGCAGAGCCACACACGCGGGTCAGGGTGCAACGGGTTCAAACATCCCTGCAAGGCTTCCCCTCTCTCAAATCCTCCAACCTCATTCCCCATCCACTAGCAAGGAGGGAGGGAAGTCGTCCTCATCACCGTCTATCTGGAAGGAGGGAAGGAAGAAGAGGGTGGCAGCCCCGTCCGGATCACATCCTCCAGCGGCAACGTAACCTGACGAATCCCTGCATTTCTCTCTGTCTTCGGGTTCTCTGGGAAAGAAGGAGGAGGCTGGCTTCCCTTTTGCTACGATGATCTCCAAGCGGTGCAAGATCCTCCTCCTTTTCTCTCTCCCTCTCTGTTCCTTCCTTCCTTCCTTCTCTATTTAGCCCCCGCCCCTTCCAGTCATTCACTTGCAGAGAACGTGGGAGGGAAGGAGGGGAGGAAGGAGGGAAGAGGAGGAGGAGGAGGAAGGCACGGTTCCCTCTCCGGCGCTGCCGTCCTCCGCCACGCTCGAGCTCCGGAGGCTCCCCGGGAACGGCGCCGAACGTTCACGCTCCCAACATTCCATCCCCCGACGCCGCCGCCGCCGCCGACGCCGCGCTGACCTCATCCATCCACGCAGGCCCGCTCTCCCATTGGCTGGGCGTCACGTCCGGAAAGGGGGCGGGGCTTCCGCTGCACCCATTCATAACACCCCCCACCAGCCGGGAAGAAACTGCTTGGCAATATTAGACTCTACAGAGTCCATGCAGTCATGCCGGCCACATGACCTTGGAGGTGTCTATGGACAACGCTGGCTCTTTGGCTTAGAAATGGAGATGCGCACCACACCCCAGAGTCAGACATGACTGGACTTAATGTCAGGGGAAAACCTTTACCTATAATAATAGTATATAGGTATTTTGGACTCCAACTCCCACAATTCCTAACAGCCAGTAGTCCAAAATACCTGGAGGGCTGAAGTTTGCCCATGCCTTGTTCTATAGGATGTTAGGAATTGTGGGAGTTGTTCTATAGACTCGTAGGAATTGTGGGAGTTGGAATCCAAAACACCTGGAGGGCTGAAGTTTGCCCATGCCTTGTTTTATAGGATGTGTGGTTTGCATTTAGATGGAGAAACAACACTATCACAGGATAACTTTCTTTTTAAATAATATATATATATATATATCCAGGAGAAGTGAGAAGGGGAGCAAGGAAATGCCAGGTCTTCCCTCTCCCTTTCTGTAATTGTGGTGACAGGTTTATATGGGCGCCCTCTACCGCATGGAATAGCTCATTGCCACGTGTTTTAAGGGTATCCAATCCATACAGTGATTCTCAACTTGGGGTCCCCAGATGTTTTTGGCCTACAACTCCCAGAAATCCCAGCCAGTTTACCAGCTGTTAGGATTTCTGGGAGTTGAAGGCCAAAAACATTTGGGGAACCCCAGGTTGAGAACCACTGCTAGACTAGCATCTACACTGCAAAATTGCATCAAGTCAGACCGAACACGGGTGTGCGCCTATGCAAAGGCGTACTCTGCAGCAGTGATGGCTGCATGTAAATCTCACATTGCGGCCAACATTGCGTCCGTGAGGAATCGTCCAGCTGAGTTGTTTCGAACGGTCAGAGGTTTGTGACGAGGTCCCTGGACCTTCAACAGTTCGCTATGAGGCATTTGCATGGTTCTTCATGGATAAAGTCGCTCTGATTCACTCCGACCTGGATGCCACAGTTACTGCAGTCTCTGAAGATGTAGCGAGAGCACCTGCTTGCCCGGTTTTTATGGATTCATTTCAGTTTGTGCAACCCAAGATTCTTGGAGAGGCGAGGGCGACTGCATGCATCCTGGACCAAGCTTTCAGGACAATGCAATAAAGGAGCGATAGGAAACTTTACCAGGCCAATTAGATTTGACACAGATGACCAAGACGGTTTTAAACAGTGTATTTTAATATTGAGATAAATGTTTTTAATGTTTATGTACACATATAATTAATTCTTGTCCCGGCATTGAATGTTTGCCATATATATGCTGTGCTCTGCCCTGAGTCCCCTTCGGGGTGAGAAGGGGACTCAGGGTGGAATATAAATGTTTTAAAGAAATAAAATAAAAAATGAATGCACTTTGAGTTTTCCCGGACTGTTCCAGAAGCATTCTTTCTTGACATTTCACCCACATCTATGGTAGGCACCCTCAGAAGTTGTGAGGTCTGTTGGAAAACTAGGGCAAGTGGGGTTTATATACCTGTGGAATAATGCCCAGGGTGGGAGAAAGAACCTGCCTGTTTGGTGTTGCAATTGGCCACCTTGATGAGCATTGAATGGCCTTGCAGCTTCAAAGCCTGGCTGCTTCCTGCCTGGGGGAATCCTTTGTTGAGAGGTGATTACTTGGCCCTGATTGTTTCGTGTCTGGAATTCCCCTGTTGTTTGACTACATTTTTATTTATTGTAAGCAATATGTTATTACTGAAGTTTTATTTTAAAAACCAACTATTTTAGGTACTTTTCCACATCTTTTTATAAAGTTTTTGAATGTAAGTAACTTTTTTTACTATCCTGATTTTAGAGCTTTTTTAAAAAAATACTGGTAGCCAGATTTTGTTCATGTTCATAGTTTCCTCCTTTCTGTTGAAATTGTTCACATGCTTGTGGATTTCAATGGCTTCTCTGTGTAGTCTGACATGGTTTTTAGGGTGGTCCAGCATTTCTGTGTTCTCAATATGCTGTGTCCAGGTAGAGCCCACCTAAATTGGGCTCTACGGGCCAACTGATATTTATTTATTTACGATATTTCCATACCGCCTTTCTCGAACCTGAAGATCAATCAAGGCAGCTTACAACCAGGCAGATAATTCACCACAGACACCAGAAGAGTTGCAAGGCCAAGAACAAGCCACAAGAGTAAAGACAAAAATTAACCAAGAGGAAAAGTGTTCTTACCATACATCAAGGGAACCACTGACCACATAGGGAAGCTGAGGAAGAAACACAACCTACAAACTATCTACAGACTCACTAAGAAAATCCAGCAAAGGACAAGAGGGATCCTCTCACCTCTGCAGGAGTCTACTGTATACCATGCAGCTGTAAACAAATCTACATAGGGACCACTAAACACAGCATTACCCAAACATGAATCAAGGAAGGTGAAAGGCACTGCAGACTAATTCAGAGAAGCAGAGCACTTGATGAACCAACCTGGATGCAGCATAGTATTTGAGAACACAGAAATGCTGGGTCACTCTAACAACCACCATGTCAGACTCTACAGAGGGGCCATTGAGACCCACAAGCATGTGAACAATTTCAACAGAAAGGAAGAAACAATGAAAATAAACAAAATCTGGCAACCAGTATTTTTTTAAAAAAACTCAGAAATCAGAACAGTAAATAAAGAGCACCACTTAAAATCAGGAAATCTTGACATAAAACAATCAGGGCCAGCTAACGGCTTCCAACAAAGGACTCCCCCAGGCGACAATTATTCCAGCTTTGAAGTTGCAATGCCATTAAATGCTAATCAAGGTGGCCAGTTTGCAACATTCATACTTGCCTCAAACAGACAAGAGTTCTTCCTCCCACCCTGGACATTCCACAGATACTGTAAACCTGAAAGTGTTGTTCCCTGTGTAATTGTGCAATCCTTACTCTGAAAGTAGTTGCTGTACTCCAGAAATTTTGCTTTTGTAGCCGCCACAAGCTATGTTGAATTGGTCAAGACTGAGTGAGATATAAGATGTTCAGTAAAAACAAAGTTTTTACAGTTCAATAAACTTTTTCCATGTTTTTATGATCGAATCAATTGGGAAATGACATATATAACCCAGGAACAGTGAAATCAAGTGCTGCAACCCTCATGCGCGCAGAGAGAAAGTGTCAAGAGAAAGAATGGTGAAATGCTGAACTGATAAGAAGTGGGTTGGTATTTATTGCTCCTAGGAATTGACATTAAGGCCACGTGTCTTTACAGAAAACTCAGTAACCTGGAGTTCACATGATAAGTAGCGGTGGTGTCAAGCCAATTTCCAGGCACATGTTTCCAAAGTCCATAACTGAAAAACGAAAGACCTGTGCAAACTAAAGAAGTGGAGTCAGGGCAGGTAAAGAGGGGCAGATAGAGAACCATAGAGGCCATCCAGTCCAACCCCCTGCCGAGAAGCAGAAAATCACATTCAAAGCACACTTGACAGATGGCCATCCAGCCTCTGTTTAAAAGCCTCCAAAGAAGGAGCATCCACCACAAAGAGTTCCACGGCTGAACAGTTACTACAGTTAGGAAGTTCTTCCTAATGTTCAGATGGAATCTCCTTTCCTGTAGTTTGAAGCCATTGTTCTACGTCCTAGTCTCCAGGGCAGCAGAAAACAAGCTTGCTCCCTCCTCCCTATGACTTCTCCTCACACATTTATACACAACCATTGTGTCTCCTCTTATGCAGGCTAAACATGCCCAGCTCATACCATTCCTTTGAAATGCATTTGAGAAATGAGAAATTGAAGAATACTTCAGAATTATGTGCCATGTCTTGATCAATGGAATTGCTTCCATCTTTTTGTTGGTCCTCTTCTGGTGTCTTTATAATAGCAATTTAAGCTAGCAGCGGTGTAGCCATTTGATTCTACAAACCAGGGTTGAAATCACTGCTTGTTCATGGAAATCCACTGGGCGATCTTGGGCAATGTATTGTCGAAGGCTTTCATGGCCAGAATCACTGAGTTGTTGTAGGATTTTTTGGGCTATATGGCCATGTTCCAGAGGTATTCTTTCCTGATGTTTCGCTTACATCTATGGCAAGCATCCTCAGAGGTAGTGAGGTCTGTTGGAACCAGGAACTCCCACCTTGGTCATTCCACAGATATATAAACCCTTTTTCCTAGTTCCAACAGACCTCACTACCTCTGAGTATGCTTGCCATAGATGCAGGCAAAACGTCAGGGAGAGAATGCCTCTAGAACATGGCCATATAGCCCAAAAAACCCTACAACAACCCAGATCTTGGGCAAGTTGCACACTCTCAGCCTGAAGAGGTCTTTCACATGGAAAATGGTTCTGTTTTGGGAATTGTTCCAGGTCCCCAACCAATGTTCAAGTGTGAAGCTTTTCCAGTACTAGAAAGAAAAGTCCTTTCACTGTCAGATTTTTCATAGGTTTATCTACACTGTAGAATTAATGCAGTTTGATGTTATTTTAACTGCTATGGTTCAATGGTATGTAATCATGGGATTTGTAGTTTGGTGAAATGCCATTTGGCAAAGGAAAGTAAAAAAAAACCCTTGTTACACTACAAGTTCCCATTAAAATTTTGGCAAAGAAAACTAAACAAGGGAGAAACTCAGATCTTAAGTGGGCATTTCCAAATAAATAGAAGTATACTGTCTAGATCCAGGGATGTCATGCTACCCCTCTATTCTGCCTTGGTCAGACCACACCTGGAATCACACTGTGTCCAATTCTGAATTGAAGGGAGATGTTAACAAGCTGGAATGTGTCCAGAGGAGGGCGACTAAAATGATCAAGGGTCTGGAGAACAAGCCCTATGAGGAGCGTCTTAAAAAACTGGGCACATTTAGCCTTCAGAAGAGAAGGTGGAGAGGAGACATAATGAGGGCCA